CGCCCAGCCCGGGCACAGCGCAGGGCGACATGGAGGCGCCCAACATGAAGCGCAGGCGGGGACAACTCAGAAGTCCCAAACAAGTGGAAGTGAAGGAAGTGCAGCCAAGAAGGTGCGTACGGATGGACCGGCGGAAGACATTCCCATGCAGTTGGAGCCATGCAGCACCTCGGCCAAAACTTCCAGAGATCCTCATTCAGGGGATGCGAGTGATAAGCGGTTTTGCTCCTTGCCTTTCGGCCAGCAAGGTGGAGAATTGCTTCAGTCTTGGCACGGCTCATGTTGAGCTTTAGGCCATAAGATTCAAAGATGTCAACACACAGTCTGACCACATGCGGCAGCTTCTCAAACAAAACACCTGGATCCTGATCATCAATAGCAACGAGGACGTCATCGATCCAGCAGACTGGATGAAAAGGCTCAGCGTTAGCGTGGATTTCAGAGACTGAGAGGCTTGACTATGATGCTCTTGGTGGACCCTGCAAGTACCCAATTTTGGATTCCAACTTCACGAGTGCTATCAGGGAGTGCATCAAGACGAGGGCTGTTAGGGACAAGATGAATCGCCTGACCGAAGCCGCTCAGAATATGAATCCTCCCCAGGGTATCAAGGGGAGACAGATCTTGAAGCTCCTGCTGAACCACCTGCAGACTGCAGTCGAGGACGACCAGACCTTCAAGATTGCCGAATTGACCAGTCGCAAACAGGTCACTCCGACGATGAAGCTAGGCTCCGGAGTTATCTGAGCACCTGGGACAATCTCATTTCTGGGATCAGGAAGAAAATCGATGATGGAGTACTATTAGCCGTGTTCATTGAGAACGTTCGTCATCTACGCTGTATGCGGCCTGACATCGAGAGGTGGGATCGCGATGTGACCGTTAGGTCTTTCGCGTGGCTTTATAAGGCTTGTCAGGACTGTGTTGAGCGATGGCAGAAGCGACAGAACACGCTTCAGATGTACCAGACCTTTCATGAGCAGAGGTCACGATCAGGCTCCCACTCCCGTGAGAGGGATCGGCATCCTGGCGCTCCTGGCGTTGTGCGGAGGTACGATCCACTTGCCAGGAAGAGTGATCCTAGCCCTTCAAGGTCCGTTAGGTCCGGAAGGGATGGGAAACCCGACGGGAAGCCAAGATCATCTTCGCCCGGAAGAAGCAGTCAAAGGGACAGAGCTTCTCCTGGAAGAGGCAGTCAGAGGGACAAGCGCACGCCGTCTCCCAAGTCGCCGAGAAGACAGTCCCCCGCTGGGCCTGCTGATCGGGTGTGTTGGGAGTATACGAAGACTGGGAAGTGTCAATATGGCCGGGAGTGCAGGTTCGAGCACGACAAGAGCACAAGGAACCCCGCTGCGCCCTCTACGCCGAGGACTGGCGATAGGCCCGTTAGGGACAAGCCTATGTTCTTCGGATACTGCTACGACTGGATGTATGGCAAGTGCACAGCTCAGCCGTGCAAGTACCTGCATCAGAAGCCACCACCAGGTACGAAGCCCATCACGCCTCGTACTACTGCTGGTCCGGTTGTTGAGGATGAAGAGGGGGATACCCCTAGATCGCCCACGCCCAGTCCTCCCGATAGGGAGGCGAGGCGTCTCGACAGCCCCGCTCAAGGATTGACGGATTTTTAGGCGGGGCGGGCCGTTACCCTGAGGCCAACCGTGTTGTTGTGGCGTGTCCAGCTATGTGGGCTGTTGCCCCAGCTACCGGTGGGTCTGCGCCGGGTTGCCTCCCTCCTTGCGATAGCAGTTGGGAGAAAAGCGAGCGAGACGCGTTGTTCTTCTCCGGTACTACTGGTGGAGGTCCTAAATGGGACCAAGTCATTTGGAGAAGGACCGTTGACGCGAATGGGACCGTGATCGAGGATATCGGGGTGAACTTCAGTGATCGCCGAGCGACCTTGTTCAGGAGACTCCCGAGACAAAGTGATACCAAGACGACGTTTTGGTACTGCGACGACCCGATAGGGAACCTCTCAGGGTCAAGATTCCCGATCTCCCTGATGTGTTTGTTGTCTCAATTGAGAATGACAATACGGGCAGGATCGTGAATCGTTGCCGAGAGGCTGGATACAGCCATCCAAATGCGATTAAGTTCCCATCACGCAAGAGAATTGCTAGGGAGGTTCAAAGTGCTCTGATAAGAGCAGCGGCTGTTCACGCCCAAGTGCTTTTAGACAATGACGAGGACATCGACACCAACCCTGGGGATGTGCGGGGACATCGCGTTGTTCGAAAGCCGAAGTACACTCAGAAGGTTGCTGCACCTGTTGGATACGGCGGGGTGAGGTGGCTGGTAGATACTGGTTGCCCAATGGATCTGGTCGGTCTTGGTGATTTGAAAGGACCCGATAGGGCCCTGATTGCCAAAGGCGGGCACACTCACGCGCTGCACACTGCTAACAGGGCGACTCGCACCGCTGGTCGTGTTGATGCTGATGTCGGCAACCTGGACGAGGTGATTGAGGCACACGTCCTTGAGTCCACTCCATCCATTATATCCGTTGGAAAACGCTGTATGGATATGGGATACTCGTTTGTATGGACTGCAGGTTGCAAGCCTACTCTCACGTGTCCTTCGGGCCGCACGGTGACATTGGATGTCATCAACAACGTGCCATATCTTCCTCACGGTGACACTCAGTTCGTTTCTCCCACTCTTGATGATGCTGAGCCACTCCCCGCTATGCCTGCCCCCGGGGCGGCGTATCGAGGGCTTGAAGCCAGCGAGGTTCCGCCGTGTAGGTCTGAGCTTACGGCCAAGAGTGAGCTACAGGACACCTGGCGCACTGAGCGGTCGGGCCATGTTGTGAAGGAGCACCGGCTTCCGCGTAAAGCAAAGTTTGTGCCGACAGGCGATGATTGTCCCGTTGGGGTTGATCGATTGGACAACTACAGGAAAACTGTCGTTCACCGAAATGGGGTTACCCATGAGGTGCTGGTTGATAGTCTTTGGGAGTTATCTGAAAGAGATCAGCATGCGATAGCATCTGATGTCCCTTGGACGGGTGAAACGTGGTTTCAGGTCAAGTGCGAGACCGTTGCTCTTCCCGGAAAGGCAGAACAGGGGGGTGAAGGCGATAGCCGCTCACCACCCTTTCCTGGCCCAGGGGAAGGGGACGATGATGACATTGTCGAGATAAACTTTCTCTCCGGACTCCGCACATAGGGCGCAAATGCAAGTTTGTGCAAAACCCACCTTCTTTCAAAGCTTCCCAGAGCTCCTGAGCAACTGAGAACATAATCAGGTTGAAAGTCAAATCTGCGAGTGGCATGCCTGGCCTGGTGCCAAGACATGCCAGCGCATGCTGATCCGTGAAAGCTGTGCGATACCAGGTGCCAACCTGCCACTTGACAAACCTCTTGACGAGATTTTGCGGCAGTCCTTTCAAGTAGCTGCACGGCCCTAGACAACTGAAAAGACATATTTTGTCCAGCCAGTCCTTCGGTGGTTGTACGAGGGACTTCAAGAAGAAGGATTGGAAACTTGGTGAGGTTGTCGGGAAAGTCCTTGAGCTTCTCGCGCACTCGGCGCATCATCTCTTTGAACAGACCACTGTTCTCCACTTTAAGTTCCTCGTACATCGTCGTTTCCCAATCGGCACTTTTGATGGTGAATCGCGCAACACCTCGCGCCCCTCGCAAGGCCTCTTCTGTTGCCACCGACTTGCCTGACTGGCAGCGACCACCGATGATGGTCGCATGTTGTTGCCAGCTCGCAATGCGTTGCCGGAGAGTTTCCATCACTGGCCTTTGGATGACCTCGTCTTGCGGCCTGCTGGGCTCAAAAGGCTCCATGGCCCTTGCCAGCGCTTCTTGGATTTTGCCTTCTGGAGAGGCTTTGAACGCCTCGTCGGCAGAACGCTTTGCTTCATCGGCGGAGCGCTTTGCTTCATCGGCGGACTTCACTGCATCCACCAGTTGCCCAAATGTGAAGGTGGACTTAGCTGCAGTTGCCACGCTAATGAAGAAGTCGCGGTTTCGCCCAACGTCGTCAACGAATTGTTGAAAATCCAGCCCCGACGTGTCAGAGGCATAGGCTGGGGCTACCATGATGCATGAGCCAACCACATGCCCAACGAGGCGTGCCCCAAGGTGTGGTGTGCATCTCACTGGCACCGCCTCCAAATGACATAGCCATCTGCAAGACCAAAACATGAAACATCACACTGGCCTTTTCTTAAACACAAACTCATAATCACCAAAGTTAGGAACCAAGTTAACATGATTTTCAAGTCCTTGACCTGTGGTGGTGGCACAAAGGCTCCCATCAACTTCATCAGACTGAAGCCACCGACCAGCACCATCCATGGCTTGACACGCACTTGGTGCCTTCGGTTCATGGCTACAACAAGGAGTGTGCCAACACCACTCCGTGCAGTTTTACTCCATCATCTGTTTTTTTTAGTATTGTAAACATTATTTTTTCACATTGCCTAGGTTGGCTGAGTTTTGGTGCGGTTTCTTGTTGTAGGCTTCTGTGCTGAATCTATGCATATGCTTCGGTACAGGGGTATAGTATTGAACTGGGGGTTGAGGCTCTTTCTGGTCTTTCAGAAGTCATGATCCTCGCGAACCTCATGTCACGACTCACCTGGCCGAAAAAAAACAGCAGCCAAGCTGCAAAGACTCCAAGGTCCATGTCGGGCTTCATTGCGCGCGAAACTCCAGGATCTGCTTCGTGGACAAGGCCTTGAAGAAAGCCACGAGCTGGGGGACACAACTCACAGCCCTTCTTGTTCATCTTCAGAACCAAAAAACACGAAAAAAAAGGTAAAGCGAATCAAACGCAAACACACCCGATTTCGGAAATGTTGAAGTGCAGGTGCATGGATTTGGCTCAGCATGCCTGAATCGTCTATCCTTGAATGGGATTTCAAAATACACCATCTCACATAGCTGATACATCTGATACTATGCGTGCGTTGTGTTTACGGGGCTGGAACAAATGCACAAGCAAGAACGAGCTGAAGTCTTCCGGCCATTTTCGCAAAAGATCGGTCATGGATTTGCCAGTTGCGCTTCAGCGGCCTCCTTATGCAATTTGGAGGCAAAAAAGAAGCGCTTCTTGATAGGGTGAAAATACACAGCATGACAACTCTTGTTGCGAATTAGTGCGGCAACCTCCCTTGGGAGGATGCTGATGCCGTTTGAAACCTCTGGGATGCCTTCAGGATAAACTTTGAGGAGCTCTTTCACCATCTCGCGCCCCGTGACCTTGGGGTGCACTTGAAGCTCCATGAAGCGGACAATTTCCACAGTAGCAAGTCGCTGACATTCTTGCTTCGTGTCGTCCAATGACATTCCTTTCCTTAGTTCAAGAGATACAAAACACATATCCCTGAGAGGTTTTGAACACCGAGAAAGTAAATCATCATCCGTTCAAGCCAGGCGCTTCAGATTCTCACAGGCCTTCACCAAGTCGCCAATCCGCAAGCCACCTGAAATGAACTCTGGTCAAAGTCCGCCCAAACCAAAACTCGAACGGGGCAAACACACCTTAATCAATCAACATGTTGTTGAATTGAGCCGAAACACAAGCATCCACGAAGTCTTTCCAATTCTTCTCATGCCCATGCAGTGCCAAAAACTCCTTCGCTTCCTGCTCGGTCAAGTCGCCAACCCAAATGTCTTCCTGCCTTTCCAATCCACCAGCATCGAAAGCCAGCGCCGCTGCCGCCGAAGAGGCTGATACAATCACCTTGGACCAAGGATAAATAGACGTAACTACAGTCCCCGCAAAACGTTTTCTGTTTGAACCATTGGAACTTAGTCTTTCAGCTGGAGAGCATGTATGGCACAGCCGATTTTGTCCGTCGCCACATCCTTCGCTGTAGAAGAGACTCGATCGATGCCTCGCCCATAGGAACCGGAACAAAATGACTCGGGTCAAATGCATTACAATATTTGAAAAAAACTGCTGTCCACTCAGTCCTTCAATGGTTGTACGAGGGATGTCGAGGAGGAGAACGGGATACTTGGTGAGGTTGTCGGGAAAGTCCTTGAGCTTCTCGCCCACTCGGCGCATCATCTCTTTGAACAGACCACTGTTCTCCACTTTAAGTTCCTCGAACATCATCCTCTTCCAATCGGCGCTCTCGATGCTGAATCGCACAACACCTCGCACCCCGCGCAAGGCTTCTTCTGTTGCCACCGACTTGCCGGACTGATAGCGACCACCAATGATGGTCGCATGTTGTTGCCAGCTCTCAACGCGTTTCCGGATAGTTCCCATCACTGGCCTTTGGATGACCTCGTCTTGCGGCCTGCTGGGCTCAAAAGGTTTCATGGCCTTTGCCACTGCTGCTCGGATTTTGCCCTCGGAAGAGGCTTTGAATGTCCGCACTGAGTCCCTGACTGCCCGCACTGCCTGTATTGTCGCTACAACAAGACCCGAAGCAGAAACAATGACTTGCCAGACCCTCACATCCAAAGCTCTGCAATGGGTCGAGCGTGGGCGCAAATCCTCTTTCACCTCGAGGGCAAAGATTGAGGAGTGAAAAATATACAATGCAATATAAAACCAAAAATATGCAAGAATGTTTTTTCTGTCTGACCAAGTAGAAAAAATTACCAAACAGCAAAGTTTCAATGCTAGACCCAATAAATTGAGGACGCTCAATGAGGCCCCGCAGTCTCGCTGATGCCACCTGCGGATGAAAGAGAAACAAACTACGCACTTTGCATGAATCCATTCAAGACACACCAAATTTAAAAAATGTCTTTATAACAGAATAATAAACGCAACCGTGTCTTGAAACTGCATGTCCATCGCCAACCTGCGGTGGTGGCACAAAGGCCCCCATCAACTTCACCAAAATAAAGACCAGCGCCATCCATGGCTTGACACGCACTCGGTGCCTCCGCTTCATGGCAAAACTATCCCCACACTCAAGTCACGACTGCAGAAGAGCTCACATTATTCTAAGCTCAGCGCGTGATTTTGGTAAACTTGGTGTCTGATCTTGATTTTGGACGAAATCAAAAACATATTGCACAAGTCTTTGGAAATTCTGCATGCGTGCGTCCGCCCCGATGTCTTGCCACAAGCCGTTTTGAGCAAACTCTGCGGCATGGACGCTGTCAAGCTGGGCAAACGCGTCGTCAAGCAACAAACGAAGGCCTGAGAAGTAACTTGCAGAACCAAGACGGCGTTAAGGAAGGAGATTAAGAGATTACGTGAGGGCATCTAGCAAAGGAAAGGCTTAAAGGACAATGATATCAGGCAACGATATTTAGAGGATCGCTGCAAGTCCCATTTGCCTTGCATTCGGCCTTGCAAGAGGACTGCCTCGCAAGTTGATAGCGAAGGCCAGTCACTGAGAACACATTTGTTGCATGAACATGTCTAGCGCCCATTGCCCTGTGCCGCAACACTCTCACCCAAACAGCTTTGGTTTGTGTGGTGCCTGACAAGTGTCCTCTTCGTTGAAAAGACCCGATGTTGTTTCTTCAAGGCTAAGCCCTACGCAACAGACCTATCATCAGGTTTGCGCAGTGTTCGACTAACACCACCTGCCTCGTGTCCTCGTGTGGGCGGCGCCTCATCGAGAATGAGATAGCCACACGTGTAAAGGCTCATGATGCTGGGGCTCCACCCACCAAGCTCATCGCGCATCTGGGTGGCATCTGGGCTCACCACTCCCTCATGAGCTCAACAGAAACATCTTGCCGCTTTTTCCCGAAAGCATTGCGAAGGGTTTTTCCGGTAAAATCGGTGCGTTCTGCACAGCTGAAGTGCATAGGACAAGTAGACATTAATTGCATAGGGGCATGCATAGGAAGAGTGCCGAGTGAGTGCAAAGGGGCATGCATAGGAAGAGTGCTGAATGAGTGCGTAGGGACATGCATAGGAAGAGCGCAAAGCGAATGCATAGGTGCATGCATAGGAAGAGTGCCGAGTGAGTGCAAAGGGGCATGCATAGGAAGAGTGCTGAATGAGTGCGTAGGGGCATGCATAGGAAGAGCGCAAAGCGAATGCATAGGTGCATGCATAGGAAGAGTGCAGCGTGAGTGCATTGAGGCGTGCGTAGGAAGAGTGCTGAGTGAAAGCGTAGGGGCATGCATAGGAAGAGTGCTGAGTGAGTGCATAGGGGCATGCATAGGAAGAATGCTGACTGAGTGCGTAGGGGCATGCGTAGGAAGAGTGCTGGGTGAGTGCATAGGGGCATGCATAGGAAGAGTGCTGAGTGAGTGCATAGGGGCATGCATAGGAAGAGTGCTGAATGAGTGCGCAGGGGCATGCATAGGAAGAGCGCAAAGCGAATGCATAGGTGCGTGCATAGGAAGAGTGCAGAGTGGGTGCATTGAGGCGTGCATAGGAAGAGTGCTGAGTGAAAGCGTAGGGGCATGCATAGGAAGAGTGCTGAGTGAGTGCATAGGGGCATGCGTAGGAAGAATGCTGAGTGAGTGCGTAGGGGCATGCATAGGAAGAGTGCTGAGTGAGTGCATAGGGGCATGCATAGGAAGAATGCTGACTGAGTGCGTAGGGGCATGCGTAGGAAGAGTGCTGGGTGAGTGCGTAGGGGCATGCATAGGAAGAGTGCTGAGTGAGTGCATAGGGGCATGCATAGGAAGAGTGCCGAGTGAGCGCATAGGGGCATGAATAGGAAGAGGGGCATGCATAGGAAGAGTGCTGAGTGAGTGCATAGGGGCATGCATAGGAAGAGTGCCGAGTGAGTGCGTAAGGGCATGCGTAGGAAGAGTGCATAGCGAATGCATAGCGAATGCATAGGGGCATGCATAGGAAGAGTGCTGAGTGAGTGCGTAGGGGCATGCATAGGAAGAGTGCTGAGTGAGCGCATAAGGGCATGCAAAGGAAGAGTGCTGAGTGAGCGCATAGGGACACGCATAGGAAGAGTGCTGAGTGAGTGCGTAGGGGCATGCGTAGGGAAGGTGCAGAGTAAACTCGCAGAGATCTTGCATGCCTTCTTGCCTGCTTTTTGAACTTTGTTGTCACTGTCCTATTCAGGTGTTGACGGGCGAGGTGTTTTGACCACAGGAAGTCTTCAGCGCGCTTGCCGTCTTGCTGGGGTGCAATGGCGCGTGGGCCATTCAGGTTGTCGATCTCCTTGTCGCCCTCCTCTGCTCGGGTGACAATAATGAGCTGGCGTCTGCGTTCAAAAGCTTGCCGGGTGAGCTCAATCAATGCATTGCCGTCACCCTGCAGCCCACCATCGAAAGCATTGTCGAAGAAAATGCGCGTGCAAATGCCATGACTTGCAAGCTGTCTGAAAAAACGAGCGCGCAACTTTGAGTGCAAGGGATGTGTCTGAAACCCGGAAAAACTTTGAGGCTCTGCCCAAGCTCTCCCTGCAGTACCACCATCACGCAGGACTCGCTTGCGTTGGTCTTCAACACAGACTTCTGAAAAGCTCTGCGGCTTTTGCGTCAACTTCTCGCTTATCTTTTCCGACGTAAAATGCGGAACGCATGGCTTTTATACGCACATAAGCTGTTGTTCCAGTTGCTGGCTTTAATGCATCACTGTGTCTTTCGTATAATGTGCTGTGAATCACGCGCCGCATGATCAGGTGTACACTCAGGTGCCGTGGCCCCTGGCCCAAATCACCCCGCAGTGGGACTTTGCTTCGCCCACTGGCTACGCAGAGCATTGAAAGGTGCGCTGGCGCTTTGGTGCTCTACCTTGTCTTCAGCCTGGGGCTTCGTGGGCCCTGGCAACGAAGTGATATTGGCAGAGGAGCCGCTCTTCGGCATCCAGACTGCGGGTCACTTTGGCATCCTCGGCAGAACCGGCAGTGCAGCAACCTCCCGGACAGCGACCTAGGTATCTTCATGGCATCCTCCTCCCCTTCACAAAGCTCTATGAGCCCCCCGTCCACGGATGTGGCCACTACAAGGGATGCGTTCCCCTGTTCAGCGGTCAACCCAATGACTTCCGAAAGTGGCGGAAGAGGATAGCTTTGTACAACAAGAAGATGGTGGTAACGAAGAGAGAGAAGGAGGCGGTCTAAAGGAGCCGGTCTACAACCTCCTCGGCTCTCTCACCGGCACCGCCTGGAAAGTTGTGGAACAGCTGGGGATGCCCAGATCGAGGCCGATGACACCTTCGAGAAGATCCTGAAGTTGCTGGACCAGTCCTTCCAGTACGTGCGGAGCTGACGTCTGATTCAGATGGCTACTTCAACTAGGTTCAGCGCCGGGCAGGTCAGACCCTCCTGAGCTATGTCACAGAGCACGACGAGGCCCTGCGCACGGTTGCCAAGCACAGTGTTGACCTCCCCTCCACAATTGTTGGCTGGCATCTTCTTCGGCGTGCCAGCCTTACCCGTGAACAGGTACGCCTCATCACCGCCCACGCCAACAAGGCCACGGACCGCGACACCACCGTCAAGGCCTTCTACTACATCCTTGGTCAAGACTACAAGCGCCCCGGCCACAAGCACAACACCTACGATCGGTTCGAGGACGCTGCCAGCAGCATGGTTATTGGGCCGATGATGGCACCTACGAGGACTAGAAGGGCTTTGCCGACTCGCCCGAGGAGGATCCTATGTACTACCAGCACGATGAATACTGGGAAGAGCAAGATTAGCCCGAGGAGTACTGCGACCCCGCCTTCTACGAAGCTGATGAAATTGGAGACTGCACCTACATGAGCGCCGATCCTGCCTCTTGGGCAGTTGAGGAGTATGATCAGGTCCACAGCGCCGACGTGGACGCCAGCAAGAGGTTTGAGGAGCTTCGCCTGTCGCGTGGTTTTCTTCCTGTAGTAGTTGCTCTTCGGGAAGGACAACAAGGTGAACCAGCTGTTGCTTCCGAAGCTCAAGGACGAGGAAAACGTCCGGTGGCAAGCCTTCGAGCAAGGGCAAGCCTTCACAGGCCAAGTCCCGAGCTGCGAGTGCAACGCAGTGCATACGCTGCGGTGGATCTGGCCATTGGGCCAGCGCATGCCCTCCACCACAAGCAGCTTCGTTCCGTTCTACGCCCAATCCGAACAAGCGCCCCGCCATCGAGGATGGATCCTCGATGATGGCCAACCTGCTGATCGACCAGTTCGGGTCCGAACGGCCGGATGCTGTCATGTTGGATCCTGGAGCATCGTCCTGCTTGGCTGGCTACCAGACCTTTCTCGCCTGTGTCTCCCACCTCGAGTTCATCGGCTACCACATTGACCAGATCCAGTTCAGCCGCTGCGCCAAGGACTTTCGCTTTGGAGGTGACCATTCCGGTCGAAGCACATGGGCGGTCCGCATCCCCATCTTCCTGAACAACAAGTATGGCGTTGCTGATTGCTTCCTGCTGCCCGGACACACCCCAATGCTTCTTGGAAGACCTGTGATGGAGCTCCAGGCACCCAGCTGGACTTTGCCAACGCCGCAGCTGCTCGTTCGTCTGCATCCGTCAGCCTTGTCTGACTGCGAGCGCAGACGTTCGCATCTGCCTGGCCGCTCCACACGATGGCATCGAAATCGAACTTTTGCGTGAATGCCCAGAGCTACGCGCTGGTTCCATGATGCATGGAATCCAGCATTTCAGGCTTGCGCACGGCAGCAACCATCTTGCTCCATAGCGTGCTTCTGAGACCCCGGCACCCAAGACGACGCCATGCCGCAGCAGAAACCGCTGATGCCGTTGCAATTCTTCAGCGGTCTCTGGTAGACAAGCAGTTTCGACCGCCACGCTGTCCGGGCCGGACAGCGCTGCCCGCAGCCACTCCAGCGCGCGCAAGCACACTCCTGCGGCTGCCTGCAGGGACGGAGCCGTCGCCGGGCACGGCCAGCGGCTCACCGCCTGCTCAGCGAGCGATTGCAGTTGCTTCTGCCACGCATCACCGAAACTACGTCCTAGCAACCTCGCTGGACAACATGCTGTGGCCTGGCGTTTGCGGCTGCTGGCTGTCGAATGTTGC